AACGCCTTCTTCTCCCGCTTTGAGGATAACACAGTGCCACTGACGAGGCCCACTACCAAGGACTGTGGCCTCTCCTTCTCTGTGGCCGATGTGATTAAGACATTGCTAACCCCCGCAAGGCTGCCGGCCCAGACGGCATCCCTAGCCGCGTCCTCAGAGCATGCGCAGACCAGCTGGCTGGTGTGTTTATGGATATATTCAATCTCTCCCTTTCCCAGTCTGCTGTTCCCACATGCTTCAAGATGGCCACCATTGTTCCTGTACCCAAGAAAGCAAAGGTAACTGAACTAAATGACTCGCCCTGTAGCACTCACCTCTGTCATCATGAAGTGCTTTGAGAGACTAGTCAAGGATCATATCACCTCTACCTTACCTGTCACCCGAGACCCACTTCAATTTGCTTACCGCCCCAATAGATCCACAGACGATGCAATCGCCATCACACTGCACACTGCCCTATCCCATCTGGACAAGAGGAATACCTATGTAAGAATGCTGTTCATTGACTATAGCTCAGCATTCAACACCATAGTACCCTCCAAGCTCATCATCAAGCTCGAGGCCCTGGGTCTGAACCCCGCCCTGTGCAACTGGGTCCTGGACTTCCTGACAGGCCGCCCCCAGGTGGTGAAGGTAGGAAACAACATCTCCACTTTGCTGATCCTCAACACTGGGGCCCCACAAGGGTGCGTGCTCAGCCCCCTCCTGTACTCCCTGTTCACCCATGACTGCGTGGCCAAGCACGCCTCCAACTCAATCATCAAGTTTGCAGATGACACAACAGTAGTAGGCTTGATTACCAACAATGACGAGACCGCCTACAGGAAGGAGGTGAGGGCTCTGGGAGTGTGGTGCCAGGAAAATAACCTCTCACTCAACGTCAAGAAAAGAAAGGAGATGATCGTGGACTTCAGGAAACAGCAAAGGGTGCACCCCCCTTTCCACATCGATGGGACCGCAGTGGAGAAGGTGGAAAGCTTCAAGTTCCTTGGCGTACACAACACCGACAAACTGAAATGGTCCACACACGCAGACAGTGTGGTGAAGAAGGCGCAACAGAGCCTCTTCAACCTCAGGAGGCTGAAGAAATTCGGCTTGGCACCTAAAACCCTCACAAACTTTTACAGATGCACAATTGAGAGCATTCTGTCAGGTTGTATCACCACCTGGTACGGCAACTGCACCGCTCGCAACCACAGGGCTCTCCAGAGGGTGGTTCGGTCTGCCGAACGCATTATCGGGGGCAAACTACCTGCCCTCCAAGACACATACAGCACCCAATGTCACAGGAAGGCCAAAAAGATCATCAAGGACATCAACCACCCGAGCCACTGCCTGTTCACCCTGCTATTATCCAGAAGGCGAGGTCAGTACAGGTGCATCAAAGCTGGGATCGAGAGAATGAAAAACTGCTTCTATCTCAAGGCCATCAGACTGTTAAATAGCCATCACTAGCACATTAGAGGCTGCTGCTGCCTATTGAAATCACTGGCCACTTTAAGAAATGGAACACTGGTCACTTTAATAATGTTTACATATCTTGCACTACTCATTCTTGCATTATATTCTATAATATTCTACTGTATCTTAGTCCATGCCGCTCTGTCATTGTCATTGCTTGTCCATATATGTATATGTATATTTTCTTAAATTCCATTCCTTACTAGTTTTGTGTGTATTGGGTATATGTTGTGAAATTGTTAGATATTACTTGTTAGATATTACTGCACTGTCGGAGCTAGAAGCACAAGCATTTCGCTACACCCGCTATAACATCTGCTAAACACGTTTATGTGACAAATACAATTTTATTTGATTTGTGTGGTTCCCACCATGAAGCATGGAGGAGGAGGTGTGATGGTGTCGGGGTGCTTTGATTTGTTTAACACTTTTTTGGTTACTACATGATTCCATATGTGTTATTTCATAGTATTGATGTCTTCACTATTATTCTACAATGTAGAAAATTGTATAAATTAAGAAAAACCCTTGAATGAGTAGGTGTGTCCAAACTTTTGACTGGTACTGTATATGATGTATAGACAATATGGACAGTATATGGATAGAATATATAGTATATATACAGCAATAGTTAAATAGGACTAGAATTCTCCCATCTCTCTCGCTGAGCCTAGCCTAGCCTACTATCTCCTGGTCGCCTAGCCTACTATCTCCTGGTTGCCTAGCATACTATCTCCTGGTCGCCTAGCCTACTATCTCCTGGTCGCCTAGCCTAGCCTACTATCTCCTGGTCGCCTAGCCTACTATCTCCTGGTTGCCTAGCATACTATCTCCTGGTCGCCTAGCCTACTATCTCCTGGTCGCCTAGCCTACTATGTCCTGGTCGCCTAGCCTACTATGTCCTGGTCGCCTAGCCTACTATCTCCTGGTCGCCTAGCCTAGCCTACTATCTCCTGGTCGCCTAGCCTAGCCTACTATCTCCTGGTCGCCTAGCCTAGCCTACTATCTCCTGGTCGCCTAGCCTAGCCTTCTATCTCCTGGTCGCCTAGCCTAGCCTACTATCTCCTGGTCGCCTAGCCTTCTATCTCCTGGTCGCCTAGCCTAGCCTACTATCTCCTGGTCGCCTAGCCTACTATGTCCTGGTCGCTGAGCCTAGCCTACTATGTCCTGGTCGCTGAGCCTACTATGTCCTGGTCGCGGAGCCAGTGAGATGTTGCCAAGCCTATTGTAATTATTACTGTTCTATCAGGAAATTATGTTCTAGTGTCATAGACTATCATTATAGGCCTATGGTTATTATGTGTAGGTCTATGTGAGTCGCATGTTAAATGCAAGAGTCATGGATTTACTTAGGCCTACAAGACTATTTGGTCTGTAATGCGAAATCACGTTAGATGGTTGATTGTGTGCGATCGATTACAGTAGGGTGTAGGGTAGGTTATGATTTTATGATAATTAAATTATCATTTGAGTGCCCAAATTTTGGACACCTACAATTTTGGACACCTGGATTTCTGCCTACGCCACAGCTAGATCCTATAATTACATGGTGGTTCCATGGGCAGTTACACTACAATTAGTCTTTATTAAACCGATTTTAATACCTGAACATTGAGTCAGGATTTTTTTTTTTTTTTTATTGAAACAGACACTAGTGCTTTAGAGAGTTAACTCTTATCTCTATTGGTCTTGTCACTGGGTGGTAGGCCTTTCTCATTCAGATGTGTGTGTGCTTCTCTATGCGCCTGTGTTTGTGTATATACAGTTGAAGTCGGAAGTTTACATACACCTTAGCCAAATACATTTAAACTCAGTTTTTCACTATTCCTGACATTTAATCCTAGTAAAAATTCCCTGTCTTGGGTCAGTTAGGATCACCACTTTATTTTAAGAATGTGAAATGTCAGAATAATAGTAGAGAGAGATTTATTTCAGCTTTTATTTCTTTCATCACATTCCCAGTGGGTCAGAAGTTTACATACACTCAATTAGTATTTGGTAGCATTGCCTTTAAATTGTTTAACTTGGGTCAAACGTTTGGGGTTGCCTTCCAAAAGCTTCCCACAATAAGTTGGGTGAATTTTGGCACATTCCTCCTGACAGAGCTGGTGTAACTGAGTCAGGATTGTAGGCCTCCTTGCTCGCACACGCATTTTCAGTTCTGCCCACAAATGTTCTATAGGATTGAGGTCAGGGCTTTGTGATGGCCACTCCAATACCTTGACTTTGTTATCTTTAAGCCATTTTGCCACAACTTTGGAAGTGTGCTTGGGATCATTGTCCATTTGGAAGACCCATTTGCGACCAAGCTTTAACTTCCTGACTGATGTCTTGAGATGTTGCTTCAATATATCCACATAATTTTCCTTCCTCATGATGCCATCTATTTTATGAAGTGCACCAGTCCCTCCTGCAGCAAAGCACCCCTACAGGATGATGCTGCCACCCCCGTGCTTCACGGTTGGGATGGTGTTCTTCGGCTTGCAAGCTCCCCCTTTTTCCTCCAAACATAACGATGGTCATTATAGCCAAACAGTTATATTTTTGTTTCATCAGACCAGAGGACATTTCTCCAAAAAGTACAATCTTTGTCCCATGTGCAGTTGCAAACCGTAGTCTGGCTTTTTTATGGTGGTTTTGGAGCAGTGGCTTCTTTTTTTTTTGTCATTTAGCAGACGCTCTTATCCAGAGCAATCCAGAGCCTTGCTCATCGACAGATTTTTCACCTAGTCAGCTCGGGTATTAGAACCAGCGACCTTTCGGTTACTGGCACAACGCTCTTAAGCACTAAGCTACCAGCTGTCGACATAAACTTCTGATCCACTGGAATTGTGATACAGTGAATTATAAGTGAAATAATCTGTCTGTAAACAATTGTTGGAAAAATTACTTGTGTCATGCACAAAGTAGATGTCCTAACCGACTTACCAAAACTATAGTTTGTTAACGAGAAATGTGTGGAGTGGTTGAAAAACGAGTTTTAATGACTCCAACCTAAGTATATGTAAACTTCCGACTTCAACTGTATGCGTGGGCGAGAGTTTAATTCACTAAAATCTTACTCAGGCGTTCTCAGGCGTAGCCTTGCCTGCTGTTGCTGAAACATTAAGTATTTTTCTGTCCTGATGGCTGGCTGCTGGTTAAAGAGACACTTTAATCTCTTGCTGGGATTAATCTGAGGGAAGACTGGAGACATTGATACAATGCTGATCATTCCTGCTCCATATCCTCTGGTACAGGATCCAGAGTTTGCCTCGCTCTCTCTCTGAGGGCTTTCAGAGGGATTTCACTCAACATGAATCGGTCTTCTGATTTTCATTTTGTGATCCTGTCTCCCTCCTCTCATCCTCCTCCTACCTCCCCCTCTCCTCTCCTCCTACCTCCCCCTCTCCTCTCCTCCTACCTCCCCCTCTCCTCTCCTCCTACCTCCCCCTCTCCTCTCCTCCTACCTCCCCCTCTCCACATCCTCTAGATGTGGTTTTCTCGGGCTGGCAGCATCACAAACATGTCTTTACATCTTGAAAGAAGGTGGTAGATGGATGCTCCCTGAAACAGCTGTATGTACTGGGGTTTTCTCCTTATCCTTCCCTGGGCTCAGTCTGGGTCCTTCATGTGACCTGATTTTAATCCAGCTCAGTTGGTTCTTCACTGCAGGGCTTCAGAGTGGAGAGGAGGAGGGGAGAGGAGAGGAGAGGGAGGAGAGAGGGATGAAGAGGGAGATGAGGAGAGAGAGGAGGAGTGGAAGAAATGGAGGAAGAGATGGAGGGGAGGACAGAGGAGAAGAGAGAGAGAGAGAGAGGAAGGAAGGGAGGGAGGTAGGGGGAGAGCGAGATGGAGAAAAGGGAGAGCGTGTTTGTGTGTGATCTGATGTGGTTTGGCACAGCCTGGGCCTGGCACCGGCCAGAGAGCGAGGGAGGGATGGATAGGGCTGAGTCATACACCCAGTGAGGCCGAGAGAGATGGGGGATGAGAGAGGGATGAGTGTCTTCAGTAGCAGAGGAGGAATAAGGCTGTCACATTGATTTACAGGCTGCCTACAGGCAAAGAGAACTCAGGAGGAACAGATTAGAGTTTAGACATTGGAATTATAGATTTCTAGCTGACAAACGGATAGTTCATATTTTTCTAAGTTCCTCTTTAATTGGATTGTATTTACAGTGGGGGAAAAAAGTGTTTAGTCAGCCACCAATTGTGCAAGTTCTCCCACTTAAAAAGATGAGAGAGGCCTGTAATTTTCATCATAGGTACACGTCAACTATGACAGACAAAATGAGAGAGAAAAATTCCAGAAAATCACATTGTAGGATTTTTAATTAATTTATTTGCAAATTATGGTGGAAAATAAGTATTTGGTCACCTACAAACAAGCAAGATTTCTGGCTCTCACAGACCTGTAACTTCTTCTTTAAGAGGCTCCTCTGTCCTCCACTCGTTATCTGTATTAATGGCACCTGTTTGAACTTGTTATCAGTATAAAAGACACCTGTCCACAACCTCAAACAGTCACACTCCAAACTCCACTATGGCCAAGACCAAAGAGCAGTCAAAGGACACCAGAAACAAAATTGTAGACCTGCACCAGGCTGGGAAGACTGAATCTGCAATAGGTAAGCAGCTTGATTTGAAGAAATCAACTGTGGGAGCAATTATTAGGAAATGGAAGACATACAAGACCACTGATAATCTCCCTCGATCTGGGGCTCCACACAAGATCTCACCCCGTGGGGTCAAAATGATCACAAGAACGGTGAGCAAAAATCCCAGAACCACACGGGGGGACCTAGTGAATGACCTGCAGAGAGCTGGGACCAAAGTAACAAAGCCTACCATCAGTAACACACTACGCCGCCAGGGACTCAAATCCTGCAGTGCCAGATGTGTCCCCCTGCTTAAGCCAGTACATGTCCAGGCCCATCTGAAGTTTGCTAGAGTGCATTTGGATGATCCAGAAGATGATTGGGAGAATGTCATATGGTCAGATGAAACCAAAATATAACTTTTTGGTAAAAACTCAACTCGTCGTGTTTGGAGGACAAAGAATGCTGAGTTGCATCCAAAGAACACCATACCTACTGTGAAGCATGGGGGTGGAAACATCATGCTTTGGGGCTGTTTTTCTGCAAAGGGACCAGGACGACTGATCCGTGTAAAGGAAAGAATGAATGGGGCCATGTATCGTGAGATTTTGAGTGAAAACCTCCTTCCATCAGCAAGGGCATTGAAGATGAAACGTGGCTGGGTCTTTCAGCATGACAATGATCCCAAACACACCGCCCGGGCAACGAAGGAGTGGCTTCGTAAGAAGCATTTCAAGGTTCCAGTCTCCAGATCTCAACCCCATAGAAAATCTTTGGAGGGAGTTGAAAGTCCGTGTTGCCCAGCGACAGCCCCAAAACATCACTGCTCTAGAGGAGATCTGCATGGAGGAATGGGCCAAAATACCAGCAACAGTGTGTGAAAACCTTGTGAAGACTTACAGAAAACTTTTGACCTGTGTCATTGCCAATAAAGGGTATATAACAAAGTATTGAGAAACTTTTGTTATTGACCAAATACTTATTTTCCACCATAATTTGCAAATAAATTCATAAAAAATCCTCCAATTTGATTTTCTAGATTTTCTTTTCTCATTTTGTCTGTCATAGTTGATGTGTACCTATGATGAAAATTACAGGCCTCTCTCATCTTTTTAAGTGGGAGAACTTGCACAATTGGTGGCTGACTAAATACTTTTTTCCCCCACTGTAGGTGATGAACAAACACTTATCTGTGCTTGACTCATGCTATCTGTAGAATTCCAAACCAAACACTGGTACAAAACATACAGATTTATTTTGATTAGATGAACACAGCAGGATAAAAATGATTAAAAATAAAGAATTTCCTGCAGATTCCATCTGGCTTTAGTCATGTCCATGTCAATAACCTCTTTACAACAGATGATGTCAGCTGGTATGAGCCGTGTGATTGTGATGTGTGTCAGTGCAGGAGGGCTGTGTGGAGAGATCGTTCTTCTATAGAGAGAGGAGGACTGGGCCTGTCGCCTCTATTTAGGGAAATGACAAACACGCTCATGATCTCCCAGCCTCAGCAGTCTGTTTTCATTCCCACGTCTTCTGTTGTTCACACGACACACTCTCCCAGACAGGGACTGTTATTCTGTTGGCGCTGTCATTGTAAATGCTAGGATCCACACATTCTCACTGTTATGTGTATTGGTGACACACACACAAGCACGCACACACGGTGTGTTGGCACGGCTTGGTGATGAAAGGACCCCCCCCCCACACTCTCTCTAACATCTCTCTCTCTTCCTTTCCCTCTCTCTTCTCTCTCAGCCTCTCCCAGGCGGGTTGGCATGGCCCAGTGATGAACGGTGCGGCGGTGCCCGGCAGCCCGGAGTTCTCCTCATGCCCGCTGCCCGACTGGCGAGAGTTCTGCGAGCTCCATGCCCGCGCCTCCGCCGCCGACTTTGCCCACAAGTTCCACCGCTTCCTGTCAGAGAACCCCTGCTACGACTCACCAGGCGCCGACAGCAGCTTCTCGCAGCACTTTGCCAGACACTTCCTGGAGTGTTTCTCTGTTGCTCTCACCCAGGCCAGGGACCACCAGGCCTCGCTCTTGCCAGGGGACGACGACTCCAACGCTCCCCCCAAATACAGCATCGTTCCCTTCCTGGGCATCCAGGGCTGCCCCCTGCCCTACGGACACAACGACCTCTACCACCGGCGCAAGGACGCCGGTGCCTCTAGCGATTCCCTGGACAGTATGGATAGTGGAGGTTTAGGAGTAGGAGGGAGTTCCTCCTTCATGGCCACCTCCCGCGCCCCCCAGCCGGCCCACAAGCCCTCTGCTCTGGGCCAGTCACGCAGCTCGGAGGACGTGTCAGTGGGACACCCCAAGGCCCGCTTCAAGAAGGGATTCTCTCTGAGGAACATGAGTCTGTGTGTGGTGGACGGGGTGAAAGAGATCTGGCACCGCCGCGCCTCCCCTGAACCAGACCCTGTAGGGGGGTCCGGAGGGGCCAGAAGGGCCAACGGAGGAGTGGGAGGAGGGGAGCCAGGCGGGGAGAGATGGTCCCAGAGACTGCGTCTTCCCAGGGGGTCCCAGGGGCACAAGGCTGAGCTGCTGGAGATCCAGAGAGAGGGGGCGCTGCGCTACATGGTGGCTGATGACACTAACTGTTTGGGGGCGGTTCAGTGGCAGAAGTGTAGGTTGCTGCTGAGGAAGACCAGGAGGGACGAGGGGGGTGACAAGTTCCTGTTGGAGTTCTACGTACCACCCAAGGTAGAGTTACAGTATATGGACGTGGACACACACACACCACAAAACACATAGAGGGAGGGGGATGGAGGTGGGGGATGGAGGGAGGGGATGGATGGAGGTGATGCAGGAGGGGGCTGGGAGGGGGTGGGGGACGGATGGGTGGGGGGATGGAAGGAGGGGGGATGGAAGGGAGGGGGATGGAGGAGGGGGATGGAGGGAGGGGGGATGGAGGGAGGGGGATGGAGGGATGGGGATTAGTAGGGGGGATGAGAGGGGAGGAGGTATAGAGAGGGGGGGAGGGATAGAGAGAGGGAGGGTAGTGATGGGGCGAGTCAGAGAGGGAGGGAGGAGGGAGGGAGGGAGGGAAGGGAGGAGGTTGAGGGAGGGAGGGACGGGGTGAGAGAGAGAGGGAGGGGGGAGGTGGGGGGGGATAGAGATGGGAGGGAGGAGGCGATAGAGAGGACGAGGCTGGAGGGGAGAGGGGGGGAGATAGAGATGGCGAGGGAGGGGCGATAGAGAGGGCGAGGGAGGGAGGGAGGGAGGGAGGGAGGGAGGGGGGGATAGAGATTATAAACACTAAATCAGGGATGGACAACTTTGATTGGGGTGGGGGCCACAAAACATCGGAACTCATCATAAGGGACTGCAGTTCCACCATCACCACACTATAAAGACAAATGAATTGCACACACTAATAGGGATATGATGACATGTCCTGATGGGCCGTTTCACATCTACAACGGTTTCAGTTCCTCTAGAAGCTGTCATGCAATCCTGAAACTGATTCAGTCACTGATGTGGAAAAGAAAACCCACTTCTTGTTGTGATCCAGGTCCACTGACTAATGACCACAAAAGACACTGTGTTCCCTGAAAGATGTACAGTACCTCTCAACAGAGACGTAGAATTGACTGCTTCACTACGGGTTGTCTTATCAGGGTCCGTATCCACAAAGCCTCTTAGAGTCGGAGTGCTGATCCAGCATCAGTTTTGACTTTTAGATCATAATTAATAATATTGTGTGGACCTGATCCTAGGTCAGCACTCCTACTCTGAGAGGCTTTGTGGATATGGGTGCAGGTTCTCACAAGCCAACGCTCTGTAGAGTCAACAGTGTCTGTGAGACTGAGTCATAAAGTGGAACTTGCCTGGCCGGTCTGGTCCGGATGCTCTTCCTCAGGCCCCATCAATCAATCAATCAATCAATCAGGCAGGCAGGCCCTGCCTTTTAACAGACAAAGGACCAGTACCTTAACACTTCCTTCTCTCCTTGAAGATTTGACTTCCTATAGAAGTCGGTAAGTCTCCTCCATAGTGCTTTCATCAATCCAGTCCATGTCAGATGAGATTAGTGAAACCATTTTTCACGTACAGTTTTTTAATGGAGCCAGGGTCTTCTTGACTGTTGCCAAGGATGTGATGTGATCTCAGTGGGACAAGAGGAACAGGAAATATCCCTTTAGATACAGGAAGTGCCCTTCGATATTCTTCCCCCGGAGATGAGTGGAGTGGAGGGCTCAGGGCGGCTACTCAGTCATACAGGGAGATGAAGATGAAGACAGATCAACTGACAAGCCTCTACTGCAACACCTACAGCCTCTACTGCAACACCTACATCCTCTACTGCAACACCTACAGCCTCTACTGCAACACCTACAGCCTCTACTGCAACACCTACAGCCTCTACTGCAACACCTACAGCCTCTACTGCAACACCTACAGCCTCTAACCTGCAACACCTACAGCCTCTAGTGCAACACCTACAGTCTCTACTGGCAACACCTACAAGCCTCTACTGCAACACTACAGCCTCTACTGCAACACCCACAGCCTCTACTGCAACACCTACAGCCTCTACTGCAACACCCACAGCCTCTAGTGCAACACCTACAGCCTCTACTGCAACACCTACAGCCTCTAGTGCAACACCCACAGCCTCTACTGCAACACCTACAGCCTCTACTGCAACACCCACAGCCTCTACTGCAACACCCACAGCCTCTACTGCAACACCTACAGCCTCTACTGCAACACCTACAGCCTCTAGTGCAACACCTACAGCCTCTAGTGCAACACCTACAGCCTCTACTTCAACACCTACAGCCTCTACTGCAACACCCACAGCCTCTACTGCAACACCCACAGCCTCTACTGCAACACCTACAGCCTCTAGTGCAACACCTACAGCCTCTAGTGCAACACCACAGCTCTACTGCAACACTCAGCTCAGTGCAACACCTACAGCCTCTAGTGCAACAACCTACAGCCTCTACTGCAACACCTACAGCCTCTACTGCAACACCACAGCCTCTATGCAACACCCACAGCCTCTACTGCAACAACCCACAGCCTCTAGTGCAACACCTACAGCCTCTACTGCAACACCCACAGCCTCTACTGCAACACCCACAGCCTCTACTGCAACACCCACAGCCTCTACTGCAACACCTACAGCCTCTACTGCAACACCCACAGCCTCTACTGCAACACCCACAGCCTCTACTGCAACACCACAGCCTCTACTGCAACACCTCACAGCCTCTACTGCAACACCCACAGCCTCTACTGCAAACACCCCACAGCCTCCGACTGCAACACCCACACTCTACTGCAACCCTACGCCTCTACTGCAACACCTACAGCCTCTACTGGCAACACCTACAGCCTCTACTGCACACCCACAGCCTCTACTGCAACACCCACAGCCTCTACTGCAACACCCACAGCCTCTACTGCAACACCCACATCCCTCTACTGCAACACCCACAGCCTCTAGTGCAACACCTACAGCCTCTAATGCCAACACCTACAGCCCTCTACTGCAACAACCTACAGCCTCTACTGCAACACCTACAGCCTCTAGTGCAACACCTACAGCCTCTAGTGCAACACCTACAGCCTCTAGTGCAACACCTACAGCCTCTACTGCAACACCCACAGCCTCTAGTGCAACACCCACAGCCTCTAGTGCAACACCTACAGCCTCTACTGCAACACCCACAGCCTCTAGTGCAACACCTACAGCCTCTACTGCAACACCCACAGCCTCTACTGCAACACCTACAGCCTCTACTGCAACACCCACAGCCTCTACTGCAACACCCACAGCCTCTAGTGCAACACCTACAGCCTCTACTGCAACACCCACAGCCTCTACTGCAACACCCACAGCCTCTAGTGCAACACCTACAGCCTCTAATGCAACACCTACAGCCTCTACTGCAACACCTACAGCCTCTACTGCAACACCCACAGCCTCTACTGCAACACCTACAGTCTCTACTGCAACACCTACAGCCTCTAGTGCAACACCCAGCCTCTACTGCAACACCTACAGCCTCTACTGCAACACCCACAGCCTCTACTGCAACACCCACAGCCTCTACTGCAACACCCACAGCCTCTACTGCAACACCCACATTCTCTACTGCAACACCCACAGCCTCTAGTGCAACACCTACAGCCTCTACTGCAACACCTACAGCCTCTACTGCAACACCTACAGCCTCTAGTGCAACACCTACAGCCTCTAGTGCAACACCTACAGCCTCTAGTGCAACACCTACAGCCTCTACTGCAACACCCACAGCCTCTACTGCAACACCCACAGCCTCTACTGCAACACCCACAGCCTCTAGTGCAACACCCACAGCCTCTACTGCAACACCTACAGCCTCTACTGCAACACCTACAGCCTCTACTGCAACACCCACAGCCTCTAGTGCAACACCCACAGCCTCTACTGCAACACCTACAGCCTCTACTGCAACACCTACAGTCTCTACTGCAACACCTACAGTCTCTACTGCAACACCTACAGCCTCTAGTGCAACACCCACAGCCCTCATGCAACACCCACAGCCTCTACGTGCAACACCCACAGCCTCTACTGCAACACCTACAGCCTCTACGCAACCTACAGCCTCTACTGCAACACCTACAGCCTCTACTGCAACACCTACAGCCTCTAGTGCAACACCTACAGCCTCTACTGCAACACCCACAGCCTCTACTGCAACACCCACAGCCTCTACTGCAACACCTACAGCCTCTACTGCAACACCTACAGCCTCTACTGCAACACCCACAGCCTCTACTGCAACACCTACAGCCTCTAGTGCAACACCCACAGCCTCTAGTGCAACACCCACAAGCCGCTAGTGCAACACCTACAGCCTCTAGTGCAACACCTGACACGCCCTCTAACTGTAACACCTAAATGCCTCTACTGCCAACACCTACAGCCTATCTAGTGCAACACCCACAGCCTATACTGCAACACCTACAGCCTCTAGTGCAACACCTACAGCCTCTACTGCAACACCACAGCCTCTAGTGCAACACCTACAGCCTCTACTGCAACACCACAGCCTCTACTGCAACACCCACAGCCTCTACTGCAACACCCACAGCCTCTACTGCAACACCTATCAGCCTCTACTGCAACACCCTACAGCCTCTAGTGCAACACCCCACAGCCTCTAGTGCAAACACCTACCAGCCTCTACTGCAAACACCTACAGACCTCTACTGCAACCACCCACAGCCTCTAGTGCAACACCTACAGCCTCTACTGCAACACCTACAGCCTCTACTGCAACACCTACAGCCTCTACTGCAACACCCACATCCTCTCAGACACACACACACAGGCACACGCACACACACATAGAACATTTAAATGTATATCTAAAAGGAATGTGATCCATCTGTGTGTGTTTTTCCAACAGTCGTCAAAGCCCAAGGTGAGCATCCCTCTGTCTGCCATCGTGGAGGTGAGGACCACCATGCCCCTGGAGATGCCTGACAAAGACAACACCTTCGTCCTGAAGGTAAGGGTAAGAAACCACAACACTACCCTGTCTTCTACCTGTTTTACCTCTCACAACACTACCTTATGGACACTACCTGACCTGACCTGACAAACCAAACTAACTGCCTACTTGACTTTCTTGCCGTGTGTTCAGAACTCTCTCTGTCTCTCCTCTGGACTCACACTGTAACTGTTCTGTTCTGTGGTTTGGTGTGTTCTCTCCACAGGTGGAAAATGGAGGTGAATATATCCTGGAGACCATCGACTCGCTACAAAAAAACTCCTGGGTCGCTGACATCCAGGACTGCATGGAACCTGGGTAAATGGAGGGATAAATATTTACTGTTCACTAAGGAGGAGGGAGGGAACAGCACAGTCATTAATCACCCTGTAAGAGTTTTTGACAGATCCCTCTCTCACACTATTTCACGCTCTGAGTTTTTCTGGTACAGTGAGTTTGTCTGTTCAGTCCATGCATGTATTTAGATGGTCATAAACAGAGATACATTTTGTGTGTGTGTGTGTGTGTGCTGTGTCTGATCTGTGTGTGTGTGTGTGTGTGTGTGTGTGTGACCCAGGGACAGTGGAGATGACATTGAGCTGGCGTCATGTCCCCACGGCCAGGCGTCTAAAGAGTTCTCCATGGTGGCCTCCTGCAGCTGTGAGCTTCTGTCAGAGGGTGAGACAAAACACACACACACACACATAACCTAACCTCACACACACACATAACCTAACCTAACCTCACACACACACATAACCTAACCTCACACATTGCCTTTTGAGGGAAATGGATGTGCTGTCAATCTGGCTGCTGTATAAGGTTGTATCTTCTAATGTTGTGTTTGTGTTCAGGTGTCCATCGCGCCCCTGAGAGATCCTGTGGCTCAGCATTAGCAGAACTGTATAGCGCCCCCTCTGTCCGCTGCAGAGAACTACCCTTCACCCAGCACCCATCCCATGTCCCCCTGGAGCGCTTCCTCCAGTCCCCAGAGGCCCAGGGGAAAAGCCCCACCACAGGTAAGGGAAACAGTAGCTCAGCTGGAAGAGAATGGTGCTTGCAACGCCAGGATAGTGGGTTTGATTCCCGGGACCACCACTACATAAAAACTGTATGCACGCACGACTGTCGCTTTGGATAAAAATCAGGGGTGAAGGTAAGGCAGCACCACAGACAGAAGGGGAAACCCAGGGGCTATAAAGCTGAAGCATCCATTTAGAATGTTTCCTCACTACCAAATATGGTAGTGAGAGGAAGTCCAGTCGTGGGTAGTGGGAGAGGATGGAACTAGGTGAAACTGGGCCGACATTCTGCACATTTTCTCATCGATGAAACATCTGATCTCAATAAATGTTTCTGTTCCCCCAAACTATAAAATGTTTACGAACACAGTGCACTATAGACTTGACGCTTTGCCAAAGTAAAAAAAAAATAATTTGTTTGTTTAGAAGGAGTGCAAGGTCGAATTGAGTTTGCGCACACTTCACAGAGGAGGTGTTCCCTAACGGAAATATGCAAATACATGCTAGAACATCTTTGCCCACCTGCTTGACACAGATGAACTATCTTGGGTTAGTTATATATCTTTGGTGGTCCGGTCCGGCAACCTGGCAAAATAAATAGTGGTGGTACTCCGTACCGGTAAAACATGAGCCTATCACAATAATTAAAACAAAATGTCAAGAAAATTGTCGGCTATTACACCATTTTTTATCATTACAGCATGTCAGAGGCATGACAAATGAGCGAATGGACTTGAAAATGGTTGGTATAGTCTGCGCTCCAAAATGCAATGTGGTTAAACGAGAACACTGAAAGTTTGCCAAGGCAGAGATGAGTGGCTGACACCGAGACGCGTGCGGACAGCAGTGGACGCATAAATTCTGGCCTAATGACATTCGCCAAATGTCATTACACTTTTTGTTGTTTTGTGTAACAGATGTCTCGTTCCATTCACCACTGTTTGGAGGGTGGAAATATGTTGCGAGTGGATGAACGTGTGGGAGTAGCCTAGTAAAGGATCCCTTTGAAGGGATTGTTTGACAATCAGATGGGCTCCCGAGTGGCGCAGTGGTCTAAGGCACTGGTTCGATTCCAGGCTGTATCACAACCGGCCGTGATTGAGAGTCCCAGAGGGCGGCGCACAATTGGCCCAGCGTTGTCCGGGTTTGGCCGGTGTAGGCCGTCATTGTAAATAAGAATTTGTTTTTAACTGACTTGCCTAGTTAAATAAAATTTAAATTAAATTAAAAAGCATCATGACTGGTTGTGTTTATGCCACAATAAAAGGTTTTAAAAGTTAAATTACAAATCTTTACGACTAGGCCCACAGAGATCCTATTAATAGGGATTCTATATGTAATTCTATGATTAGGTCCATAACATTTTTGGGTGCAAGTGCGTGCACATATAGGAGGTCCCGTACTGGGAAGAAATTAATTCTACTTTCACGCCTGGTTAAGTGTCTGCTAAATGGCAAATATTCCATTACAGACTGACCAGGTGAATCCAGGTGAAAGCTATGATCCCTTATTGATGTCACTTGTTAAATCCACTTCAATCAGTGTAGATGAAGGAGAGGAGACAGGTTAAAGAACGACTTTTAAGCCTTGAGACATGGATTGTGTATGTGTGCCATTCAGAGGGTGAATGGGAAAGACAAAATATGTAAGTGCCTTTGAACGGGGTATGGTAGTAGGTGCCAGACACACCGGTTTGAGTGTGTTAAGAACTGCAACGCTGCTGGGTTTTCCGTGCGTATCAAGAATGGTCCCCACCCAAAGGACATCCAGCCAACTTGACAAATGTGGGAAGCATTGGGCCAGCATCCCTGTGGAACGCTTTCGACACCTTGTAGAGTCCATGCAATAAAGAATTGAGGCTGTTCTAAGGTGCAACTCAATATTAGGAAGGTGTTCTTAAATGTTTTGTCCACTCAGTGTATATTAACACACATGTACATAGTTTGAAAAGGTCAGTGTCGGCTACAGAAGGTGTGGTCTACCTTTTATCATGTGATCTTTCATCTTTGTCTCCTCCCTTCAGGGGTTCTAGGTGAGGGGGCGACCGAGGCAGAGGCGGACCCCAGCCTGGCAGACTACCCATGGTTCCACGGGACGTTGTCGCGTGTGCGGGCTGCCCAACTGGTGCTGGCGGGCGGAGCTAGGAGCCACGGGCTGTTTGTGATTCGCCAAAGCGAGACGCGGCCGGGAGAGTACGTCCTCACCTTTAACTTCCAGGGCAAAGCTAAGGTGAGCCAATCACATACAGGGCAACGCCAAGGTCAGCCAATCACATACAGGGCAACGCCAAGGTCAGCCAATCACATACAGGGGAACGCCAAGGTCAGCCAATCACAGGCGGTCTACCACTTCCTCCTCCCCTTCACATGCACTGATCTTAAAACATAAGATGCCAACGGAAGGATTTGCTTTCAGGAAACAGGACAGGTTGCCAGACTATTTAGAATGTCTCTGTTTAGCCCAGACCAAAGTATTGGTATGGGTATTATAGGCATGCACAGTGTATTGTAGGGTAGGCCAAATCCCAAATCAACCCCTAAGCCCTACGCCCTACGCACTTGTGGAGATCTGAGAGCATTTGATTGGTATAAGCAATATGGTGTAACTTTAACCTAGCCTATCACAGGGCAAGGTGGAGCTATTACCATATTGCTTACACCTGTCAAATCCAGTCAGATCTCTACGTAGGGCATAGGAGTCGATTTGGGATTGGGCTGTATCCTCTAGTAGAGACAGGTCTGTTCCCATGCCCTCTGGGGCTGCGGGCAGCAGGCCTGTTCCCATGCCCTCTGGGGCAGCAGGCCTGTTCCCATGCCCTCTGGGGCTGCAGGCAGCAGGCCTGTTCCCATGCCCTCTGGGGCTGCGGGCAGCAGGCCTGTTCCCATGCCCTCTGGGGCTGCAGGCAGCAGGTCTGTTCCCATGCCCTCTGGGGCTGTGGGCAGCAGGTCTGTTCCCATGCCCTCTGGGGCAGCAGGCCTGTTCCCATGCCCTCTGGGGCTGCAGGAAGCAGGCCTGTTCCCATGCCCTCTGGGGCTGCGGGCAGCAGGTCTGTTCCCATGCCCTCTCCTGCCTCCTCCTCTCCTCCAGTGTCAGTCTTGGCATTCTGTGGCTCTCCTCCAACAGCTCAGCATTATGTCCTGCTTTCCCCCCCTCTACTCCTCTCTCTCTATTCTTCCCCCCTCTCTAAACTCCTCCTCATCTCCTCTATTCGTTCTCCCTCTCTCTAGTCTCCCCTCTACTGCCTCTCATCTCGCTAGTCTTCCCCCGTCGACCCGCTCCATGGCTCTGAGTCTCCCCTCGATACCCTCTCCATCGCTCGATTCTTCCCCCGCTACTCCTCTCCATGCTCTCTCTATCTTCCCCCTCTACTCCTCTCTCATCTCTCTATTCTTCCCCTCTACTCCTCTCCATCTCTCTATTCTTCCCCCTCTACTCCTCTCTCATCTCTCTATTCTTCCCCCTCTACTCCTCTCATCTCTCTCTATTCTTCCCCCTCTACTCCTCTCTCCTCTATTCCCCCTCCCCCTCTCACCTCTCCCTTACAATTAATGGACAAGACTGTTATAAATGAAACTTTATATTACTCACAATTCCCTTCCTCTCCCTCTCTCTTCCCCCCAGCACCTGCGTCTGTCAGTGAATGGTAACGGCCAGTGTCACGTTCATCATCTGTGGTTCCACACCGTGTCAGACATGCTCAGGCACTTCCATGCTCACCCCATCCCTCTGGAGTCAGGGGGTTCTGCTGACATCACACTGCGTTCCTACGTACAAGTACAGGGTACCCCCACAGGTACGCCCAACACACACCCACACATACACCCCACAGGTACGCCCAACACACACACACACACCCACAGGTACGCCCAACACACACACACACACAGGTATACACACACATACACCCCACAGGTACGCCCAACACACACACACACACACACACACACACCCACAGGTATACACACACATACACCCCACAGGTACGCCCAACACACACACACACACACAGGTATACACACACATACACCCCACAGGTACGCCCAACACACACACACACACACACACCCACAGGTATACACACACATACACCCCACAGGTACGCCCAACACACACCCACACACACACACACACACACATACACCCCACAGGTACGCCCAACACACACACACACACACACACCCACAGGTACGCCCAACACACACACACACACACACACCCACAGGTACGCCCAACACACACCCACACAGGTATACACACACATACACCCCACAGGTACGCCCAACACACACACACACACATACACACACATACACCCCACAGGTACGCCCAAACACACACACACACACACACACACACACACACACACACACACACACACACACCCCCACAGGTATACACACACATACACCCCACAGGTACGCCCAACACACACACACACACATACACCCCACAGGTACGCCCAATACACACACACACACCTGAACATGAACAACATAGGTTTATATACACACTCTAAAGCTCACACTCCCTTAACTAGTCCAATGTTGAGAATGTCCTTCTAGAAACAGTTAGTCATTTGTGATCAGTTCTGACCACCCCTGGGTAACTCTATCTGACCCTTGTTACTGAACAGGACAGTCTGACGTCTGGCTGTCTCCCGAGTGGCGCAGTGGTCTAAGGCACTGCATCGCAGTGCTAGCTGTGCCACTAGAGATCCTGGTTTGAATCCAGGCTCTGCTGTAGCCGGCCGCAACCGGGAGACCAATGGGGCGGCGCACAATTGGCCCAGCGTCGTCCAGGGTAGGGGAGGGAATGGCTGGCAGGGAGGTAGCTCAGTTGGTAGAGCATGGCGTTTGCAACGCCAGGGTTGTGGGTTCGATTCCCATGGGGTATGAAAATTACAAATAATAATGTATGCACTAACTGTAAGTCGCTCTGGATAAGAGCGTCTGCTAAATGACGTAAATGTATGTAATGTAAATGGCTGTAAACAACAACATCGCTGGGTGCTGTAAGTCCTGTGAATCGCTTGAAAAAACAGCAACCTTTCAGTGGGATGACCTCACAGACAGATTGATGTTTTCCTCAGTCTTAAAGGTTTTAACTAGAGGTTTTAACCAGTGAACCTGCCCCCCCCCAACCCCCACCGCACCCCACCTCACCCTCTTGCCTGGCAGGGGATGAATGCCCTCCTGTGCAGGGGAGAGACAGGAGAGCGATGGAGTGATTATACAACAGGGGTTTTGCATGCAGGCCCAGCCGCAGGCCTGAACACTCATAAAGAGACCCTCTGTTTCCCCCGGGCCCTGGGCCTAAACACATACACACACACACACACACACACAGTGAGTGGGTTGTTGGTCCAGCGTGTAAAAAGCTTTATTGATACACGCTGCTCAGCCGTGTTTTTATCAGTGTCACTACTGCTGCTGTTGTTGTTGTCCCACCAAGAGAGGTGATGGTACAGGAGGTCAACACTAACTTGTGTTTATGTTTGGTATTTTAATGAAAGATATTTTCATAAAATAAAACTGTATCAGGCCTCTTAACACTGCTCTTTTCTTACAGACAGATATCCCGTCTCTCTCTATTGCTCTCACACAGATGTGACCGTGCCTCAGCTCCCCACCCCACCAAGGGACCAAGGCTGCTGGACTGAACCAGCCCAGCCGACCCTTCACCTCCCTGGGGTCTCACAGCCGGTGGCGCCCCCCTCCGACACCCCGCTCTCCTCCAGCTCCTCATCCTCACCCACCGCCCTTCCTTCCCTCTCCCGTGGTGAGCCAGGCAGCGGAGGGGGAGGAGGGGGGCTGGTTAGCAGGAGCAACAGCTCCGAACGTCTGTTAGATCCCTCTAGTGGTGCCTCAGAGGACTACCAAGACACAGACGGAACACGCAGGGCCAGAGCTGTGGAGAACCAGTACTCCTTCTACTGAGACTGGGCCCAACCAAACCGGGAGCTCTCATTGGCTGAGACACAGGAAGTGCAGGGATTTGGACTCAATAGGTGAAAGGTCGTGGATGGACATGGATCACTCATTATCTTGTTTATTTGCTTGTTTGTTTTCCAAGAGATGTCCTGTTTCTCCAATGTTACAAGGAAGCATATTAGACTGTATGTCAGTCTGGGTCCAGTTAGCCCCTGGCTCTTTGGCCACCCTCATCATCAGCTGACATTAAGGATTTGAAGAAACAGATGATTTAGTCGAGTGTGAGGAGAGAGATGAGAGAAAGAGGGAGGGAGGGATGGATGGAGACAGGGAGAAAGAGGGAGAGCGAGAGAGGGGGATGGATGGAGAAGGAGGGAGAGAGGAAGTGGCCCAGTGGAGGTTTTGATTCACTTCACCAGACCACTTCCTGTCTGCCCTACCCACAATTCCCTAGGAACAAAGCCTCTGTCACCGCCCTGCTAAGTTATCAAGAGCTGAAGCGACCCTAAATAAATGGTTTTCCTCCCCAGGCCCTCCTGAGCATAGCCCTAATGTTTGTGAAGCTGCTTCTAGTCTGTCCCGGATATCCTCACTGTCCTCAAGGGGAGTTACAAGTACAACGTACTTTCCTCTCCTAAAGCTTTGCAAAAATGAATGGTAACATCAGTATAGTAATGGGTGTGTTAGTGTTATTTGAGATGGATATTTTCTTAGTGTACAGCCAAAAGGTCCTAGTGCCTGTCAGTTTCACAGCACTTTGACCATATGATATGATGTGACTGATGGGCCGTCTCATTGGCAGTGGCAGAGATGACCTCAGGTCAGAGGTCAGAGTGATAAAACATGCAGGGTTGGGGTCGTTTCAATTGCAGTAAATTCAGAAAGTTTACCAAATTCCAATTCCAAATTGTCCTCTTGAAAAGCATTAAAGAGAATTGGAATTGGAAGTTCAGTGTACTTCCTGAATTGACTGGAATTTCTATGGAATTGACCCCAACCCTGAAAACACGATACACATCTCCAACTATCAGAACACAGCTCAGCATTCCCACTCGCATATCAACATGGTGCAGCCGGCAACATTTTCACATCGAAGGCTGCTACTGTAATTCAGTCAAATTCAATCCATAATATTCAACATGTTTCGTTTCCACGTATCTATGGACGGTTGTTGATGGGGACAATTCAGAATATGCTGTAAGTGGGGTATTTTACATATGATGGCAAGCCCCCTACAAGACAACTGTTTGAAAGCCATGCGATGATGATGGAGGGGGGTGTTTGACTAACCTCTGGTGTGATGTACAGCCTGAAGCCCGATGTTTGATGTACTCTAGTAGTGTTCCCTAAACCTGGTCCTGGACTGCCCCTTTATGTGATGTTTTTTCTGTCCATATCATTCATTTTCCAAAAGGACAGACACCTGAAAACTTGGCTCATTTTAAAAGTTGGTTTGGAACGTTCTAAAAGAACTGGTTGATTTGTGGAATTAGAATACAGGAAAACCAGCCGAAACATGGGGGACTTAATGACCATAGTTTGAGGGACTTGATGACCATAGTTTGGGGGACGTAATGGCACCGCTGCATGGTGACCTCTAGGGGGGAGGGCCTAGGGTAAGGACCTACAACTGTTCAGGTGGTCTGCTGGTACTCCCTAGATGGCCATGCTAGGATAGAATCGGCAACAGGTTAGTATTAAAACTGCATTTCTAATTAGAACATGCTGTACTTCCATCCTCTCTGGCACGGCCAGATGGTGACAACGACCGTTGCCCTATGTCAGACTAACAGAGACCGACAGGAGGGGGAATGCAGGGGGCAGTTCATGGTACATGTGCCAATTTAAATCGTATTTTTGAAGAGTATTTATTCCTCAGCTGTTGTAAAATGACATTTTCCTATCGAGTCTTATTGATGTCATTCTTCATTCTTCTCAGTGAGCTCCTCAGTGCAACCAGTCAATCACACCAGACCTGTTCACATATCAGAGGCTCTTTTCTTTATTTCTTAACATTTAGTGTTGATTTCTGTTGTCTGGCTGAGTTTTGAAGAGTCTGTGCAATTTTGTACTAAGTGATGTACTTGACATAACTTTATACTTCTGTGAATAAAACTTGAGCAAACTGTTACAATGAACATCTCATGTCTTCTGTTTCTAAGCCACCCACATGACATTAATCTAGCAACAACCCTGATCACAACATATTGAATTGAACACAGCTCAGTACTTCCATGAGAATAGGTTTGGTTTTACTGATGGACAACAGCGCCCTCTAGTGGACAAAAGCTGTTCTTGCTGACTAGTCTCCTAGGTGGACGGGTTGCAAAGACTACTGTACTACTGCAGAGGTAGAGACTACTGTACTACTACAGAGGTAGAGACTACTGTACTACTGCAGAGGTAGAGACTACTGTACTACTACAGAGGTAGAGACTACTGTACTACTACAGAGGTAGAGACTACTGTACTACTGCAGAGGTAGAGACTACTGTACTACTACAGAGGTAGAGACTACTGTACTACTGCAGAGGTAGAGACTACTGTACTACTTCAGAGGTAGAGACTACTGTACTACTACAGAGGTAGAGACTACTGTACTACTGCAGAGGTAGAGACTACTGTACTACTGCAGAGGTAGAGACTACTGTACTACTGCAGAGGTAGAGACTACTGTACTACTACAGAGGTAGAGACTACTGTACTACTGCAGAGGTAGACTACTGTACTACTGCAGAGGTAGAGACTACTGTATTACTACAGAGGTAGAGACTACTGTACTACTACAGAGGTAGAGACTACTGTACTACTGCAGAGGTAGAGACTACTGTACTACTGCAGAGGTAGAGACTACTGTAACTACTGCAGAGGTAGAGACTACTGTACTACTGCAGAGTTAGAGACTACTATACACTGCAGAGGTAGAGACTACTGTAATACTACAGAGGTAGAGACTACTGTACTACTACAGAGGTAGAGATTACTGTACTACTGCAGAGGTAGAGACTACTGTACTACTGCAGAGGTAGAGACTACTGTACTACTACAGAGGTAGAGACTACTGTACTACTACAGAGGTAGAGACTACTGTACTACTACAGAGGTAGAGACTACTGTACTACTGCAGAGGTAGAGACTACTGTACTACTACAGAGGTAGAGACTACTGTACTACTGCAGAGGTAGAGACTACTGTACCTACTGCAGAGGTAGAGACTACTGTACTACTACAGAGGTAGAGACTACTGTACTACTACAGAGGTAGAGACTACTGTACTACTGCAGAGGTAGAGACCTACTGTACTATTACAGAGGTAGAGACTACTGTACTACTGCAGAGGTAGAGACTACTGTACTATTACAGAGGTAGAGACTACTGTACTACTGCAGAGGTAGAGACTACTGTACTACTACAGAGGTAGAGACTACTGTACTACTGCAGAGGTAGAGACTACTGTACTACTGCAGAGGTAGAGACTACTGTACTACTACAGAGGTAGAGACTACTGTACTACTACAGAGGTAGAGACTACTGTACTACTGCAGAGGTAGAGACTACTGTACTATTACAGAGGTAGAGACTACTGTACTACTGCAGAGGTAGAGACTACTGTACTATTACAGAGGTAGAGACTACTGTACTACTGCAGAGGTAGAGACTACTGTACTACTACAGAGGTAGAGACTACTGTACTAATACAGAGGTAGAGACTACTGTACTACTACAGAGGTAGAGACTACTGTACTATTACAGAGGTAGAGACTACTGTACTACTACAGAGGTAGAGACTACTGTACTACTGCAGAGGTAGAGACTACTGTACTATTACAGAGGTAGAGACTACTGTACTACTGCAGAGGTAGAGACTACTGTACTACTACAGAGGTAGAGACTACTGTACTACTGCAGAGGTAGAGACTACTGTACTACTGCAGAGGTAGAGACTACTGTACTACTACAGAGGTAGAGACTACTGTACTACTACAGAGGTAGAGACTACTGTACTACTGCAGAGGTAGAGACTACTGTACTACTACAGAGGTAGAGACTACTGTACTACTACAGAGGTAGAGACTACTGTACTACTGCAGAGGTAGAGACTACTGTACTAACTGCAGAGGTAGAGGACTACTGTACTACTACAGAGGTAGAGACTACTGTACTACTACAGAGGTAGAGACTACTGTACTACTGCAGAGGTAGAGATTACTGTAACTACTGCAGAGGTAGAGACTACTGTACTACTGCAGAGGTAGAGACTACTGTACTACTACAGAGGTAGAGACTACTGTACTACTGCAGAGGTAGAGACTACTGTACTACTACAGAGGTAGAGACTACTGTACTACTACAGAGGTAGAGACTACTGTACTACTACAGAGGTAGAGACTACTGTACTACTGCAGAGGTAGAGACTACTGTACTACTACAGAGGTAGAGACTACTGTACTACTGCAGAGGTAGAGACTACTGTACTACTGCAGAGGTAGAGACTACTGTACTACTTCAGAGGTAGAGACTACTGTACTACTACAGAGGTAGAGACTACTGTACTACTGCAGAGGTAGAGACTACTGTACTACTGCAGAGGTAGAGACTACTGTACTACTGCAGAGGTAGAGACTACTGTACTACTACAGAGGTAGAGACTACTGTACTACTGCAGAGGTAAGACTACTGTACTACTGCAGAGGTAGAGACTACTGTATTACTACAGAGGTAGAGACTACTGTACTACTACAGAGGTAGAGACTACTGTACTACTGCAGAGGTAGAGACTACTGTACTACTGCAGAGGTAGAGACTACTGTACTACTGCAGAGGTAGAGACTACTGTACTACTGCAGAGGTAGAGACTACTGTACTACTGCAGAGGTAGAGATTACTGTACTACTGCAGAGGTAGAGACTACTGTACTACTACAGAGGTAGAGACTACTGTACTACTACAGAGGTAGAGACTACTGTACTACTACAGAGGTAGAGACTACTGTACTACTGCAGAGGTAGAGACTACTGTACTACTACAGAGGTAGAGACTACTGTACTACTACCAGAGGTAGAGGACTACTGTACTACTGCAGAGGTAGAGACTACTGTACTACTGCAGAGGTAGAGACTACTGTACTACTACAGAGGTAGAGACTACTGTACTACTACAGAGGTAGAGACTACTGTACTACTGCAGAGGTAGAGACTACTGTACTATTACAGAGGTAGAGACTACTGTACTACTGCAGAGGTAGAGACTACTGTACTATTACAGAGGTAGAGACTACTGTACTACTGCAGAGGTAGAGACTACTGTACTACTACAGAGGTAGAGACTACTGTACTACTGCAGAGGTAGAGACTACTGTACTACTGCAGAGGTAGAGACTACTGTACTACTACAGAGGTAGAGACTACTGTACTATTACAGAGGTAGAGACTACTGTACTACTGCAGAGGTAGAGACTACTGTACTACTGCAGAGGTAGAGACTACTGTACTACTACAGAGGTAGAGACTACTGTACTACTGCAGAGGTAGAGACTACTGTACTACTGCAGAGGTAGAGACTACTGTACTACTGCAGAGGTAGAGACTACTGTACTACTGCAGAGGTAGAGACTACTGTACTACTGCAGAGGTAGAGACTACTGTACTACTGCAGAGGTAAAGACTACTGTACTACTGCAGAGGTAGAGACTACTGTACTACTACAGAGGTAGAGACTACTGTACTACTGCAGAGGTAGAGACTACTGTACTACTGCAGAGGTAGAGACTACTGTACTACTGCAGAGGTAGAGACTACTGTACTACTGCAGAGGTAGAGACTACTGTACTACTACAGAGGTAGAGACTACTGTACTACTGCAGAGGTAGAGACTACTGTACTACTACAGAGGTAGAGACTACTGTACTACTACAGAGGTAGAGACTACTGTACTACTGCAGAGGTAGAGACTACTGTACTACTGCAGAGGTAGACTACTGTACTACTGCAGAGGTAGAGACTACTGTACTACTACAGAGGTAGAGACTACTGTACTACTGCAGAGGTAGAGACTACTGTACTACTACAGAGGTAGAGACTACTGTACTACTACAGAGTAGAGACTACTGTACTACTACAGAGGTAGAGACTACTGTACTACTGCAGAGGTAGAGACTACTGTACTACTACAGAGGTAGACTACTGTACTACTACAGAGGTAGAGACTACTGTACTACTACAGAGGTAGAGACTACTGTACTACTGCAGAGGTAGAGACTACTGTACTATTACAGAGGTAGAGACTACTGTACTACTGCAGAGGTAGATACTACTGTACTACTACAGAGGTAGACTACTGTACTACTACAGAGGTAGAGACTACTGTACTACTACAGAGGTAGAGACTACTGTACTACTGCAGAGGTAGAGACTACTGTACTACTGCAGAGGTAGAGACTACTGTACTACTACAGAGGTAGACTACTGTACTACTACAGAGGTAGAGACTACTGTACTACTACAGAGGTAGAGACTACTGTACTACTACAGAGGTAGAGACTACTGTACTACTGCAGAGGTAGAGACTACTGTACTACTACAGAGGTAGAGACTACTGTACTATTACAGAGGTAGAGACTACTGTACTACTGCAGAGGTAGAGACTACTATACTACTGCAGAGGTAGAGACTACTGTACTACTACAGAGGTAGAGACTACTGTACTACTGCAGAGGTAGAGACTACTGTACTACTGCAGAGGTAGAGACTACTGTACTACTGCAGAGGTAGAGACTACTGTACTACTACAGAGGTAGACTACTGTACTACTACAGAGGTAGAGACTACTGTACTACTGCAGAGGTAGAGACTACTGTACTACTGCAGAGGTAGACTATAGTTGAACACGCCCATTATCAACTCTGACTGAACCCTTAGAACCAGTTATGAGGTCATCATCTGAGATCAGTTTGTGTCATTATAATTTACTCTCATCTCATTTTTTATTTAATATAATATTATCTTATGTTGTCTAACTGCTCTGTACTCATGTATTTTATGTTTTGTGTGGACTCCAGGAACAGTAGATGCTGCATTTTAATTTTTTATTTAACCTTTATTTAACTAGGCAAGTCAGTTAAGAACAAATTCTTATTTACAATGACGGCCTACCCCGGCCAAACCCGGACAACGCTGGGCCAATTGTGCGCCGCCCTATGGGACTCCCAATCACGGCCGGTTGTGATACAGCCTGGAATCGAACCAGGGTCTGTAGGGACGCCTCTAGCACTGAGATGCGGTGCCTTAGACCGCTGCGCCACTCGGGAGCCATTTGCAGTAGCTAATGGGGATCCTAATAAACTAAACCATCTTTGTACAGTTGAAGTCGGAAGTTTACATACACTTAGGTTGGAGTCATTAAAACTCGTTTTTCAACCACTCCACAAATGTCTTGTTAACAAACTATAGTTTTGGCAAGTCGGTTAGGACATCTACATTGTGCATGAAACAAAGTAATTTTTTCCAACAATTGTTTACAGACAGATTATTTCACTTATAATTCACTGTATCACAATTCCAGTGGGTCAGAAGTTTACATACACTAAGTTGACTGTGCCTTTAAACAGCTTGGAAAATTATTTTTGATGCTTCTGATAGGCTAATTGACATCATTTGAGTCAATTGGAGGTGTACCTGTGGATATATTTCAAGGCCTATCTTCAAACTCAGTGCCTCTTTGCTTGACATCATGGGAAAATCAAAAGAAATCAGCCAAGACCTCAGAAAAAAAATTCTGGTTCATCCTTGGGAGCAATTTCCAAACGCCTGAAGGAACCACGTTCATCTGTACAAACAATAGTACGCAAGTATAAACACCATGGGACCACGCAGCCGTCATACCACTCAGTAAGGAGACACGTTTTGTCTCCTAGAGATGAACGTACTTAGGTGCGAAAAGTGAAAATCAATCCCAGAGCAACAGCAAAGGACCTTGTGAAGATGCTGGAGGAAACAGGTACAAAAGTATCTATATCCACAGTAAAACGAGTCCTATATCGACATAACCTGAAAGGCCGCTCAGCAAGGAAGAAGCCACTGCTCCAAAACCACCATAGAAAAGCGTAGACTACGGTTTGCAACTGCACATGGGGACAAAGATCGTACTTTTTGGATAAATGTCCTCTGGTCTGATGAAACAAAAATAGAACTGTTTGGCCATAATGACCATCGTTATGTTTGGAGGGAAAAGGGTGTAGCTTGCAAGCCGAAGAACACCATCCCAACCGTGAAGCACGGGGGTGGCAGCATCATGCTGTGGGGGTGCTTTGCTGCAGGAGGGACTGGTGCATTTCACAAAATAGATGGCATCACGAGGAAGGAAAATTATATGGATATATTGAAGCAACATCTCAAGACATCAGTCAGGAAGTTAAAGCTTGGTCGCAAATGGGTCTTCCAAATGGACAATGACCCCAAGCATACAGTGAGGGAAAAAAGTATTTGATCCCCTGCTGATTTTGTACGTTTGCCCACTGACAAAGACATCATCAGTCTATAATTTTAATGGTAGGTTTATTTGAACAGTGAGAGACAGAATAACAACAACAAAAATCCAGAAAAACGCATGTCAAAAATGTTATTTCCCTCATTAAAATGCAAATCAATTTATAACATTTTTGACATGCGTTTTTCTGGATTTTTGTTGTTGTTATTCTGTCTCTCACTGTTCAAATAAACCTACCATTATGATCATTTCTTTGTCAGTGGGCAAACGTACGAAATCAGCAGGGGATCAAATACTTTTTTCCCTCACTGTACTTCCAAAGTTGTGGCAAAATGGCTTAAGGACAACAAAGTCAAGGTATTGGAGTGGCCATCACAAAGCCCTGACCTCAATTCTATAGAACATTCGTGAGCAGAACTGAAAAAGCGTGTGCGAGCAAGGAGGCCTACAAACCTGACTCAGTTACACCAGCTCTGTCAGAAGGAATGGGCCAAAATTCACCCAACTTATTGTGGGAAGCTTGTGGAAGGCTACCCGAAACGTTTGACCCAAGTTAAACAATTTAAAGGCAATGCTACCAAATACTAATTGAGTGTATGTAAACTTCTGACCCACTGGGAATGTGATGAAAGAAATAAAAGCTGAAATAAATAATTCTCTACTATTATTCTGACGTTTCACATTCTTAAAATAAAGTGGTGATCCTAACTGACCTAAGACAGGGAATTCTTACTAGGATTAAATGTCAGGAATAGTGAAAATCTGAGTTTAAATGTACTTGGCTAAGGTGTATGTAAACTTCCGACTTCAACTGCATAAACAATAAATGGTGGTTTGATTGAGTTTTTAGAATAGCTTGACCATGTACAATATGTGTGGCTATAATCAACTGTGTAGGAAGGAAGTAGGTTAAAGCCTGCTATCAGTCCTGATAATGACACTCTGGAGAGTAGGGCCCATTAATGACATCAGTATCTGCTGTTCTTGTTAAATGTCAGCGGTTTGCTGTGAAAATAACCAGGGGAGAGAGAAACATCGTGAAGATGACTCCTCCCATGGCCAACAGCACCCCTATAGTCAGGACCTGGTGATACTGAAGAAGATGACCCCTGACCTCTCCCATGGCCAACAGCACCCCTACAGTCAGGACCTGGTGATAGTGAAGAAGATGACTCCTCCCTTGGCCAACAGCACCCCTACAGTCAGGACCTGGTGATACTGAAGAAGATGACTCCTCCCATGGCCAACAGCACCCCTACAGTCAGGACCTGGTGATACTGAAGAAGATGACTCCTCCCATGGCCAACAGCACCCCTACAGTCAGGACCTGGTGATACTGAAGAAGATGACTCCTCCCATGGCCAACAGCACCCCTACAGTCAGGACCTGGTGATACTGAAGAAGATGACTCCTCCCATGGCCAACAACACCCCTACAGTCAGGACCTGGTGATACTGAAGAAGATGACCCCTCCCATGGCCAACAGCACCCCTACAGTCAGGACCTGGTGATACTGAAGAAGATGACTCCTCCCATGGCCAACAGCACCCCTACAGTCAGGACCTGGTGATACTGAAGAAGATGACCCCTCCCATGGCCAACAGCACCCCTACAGTCAGGACCTGGTGATAGTGAAGAAGATGACCCCTCCCATGGCCAACAGCACCCCTACAGTCAGGACCTGGTGATACTGAAGAAGATGACTCCTCCCATGGCCAACAGCACCCCTACAGTCAGGACCTGGTGATAGTGAAGAAGATGACTCCTCCCATGGCCAACAGCACCCCTACAGTCAGGACCTGGTGATAGTGAAGAAGATGACCCCTCCCATGGCCAACAGCACCCCTACAGTCAGGACCTGGTGATACTGAAGAAGATGACTCCTCCCATGGCCAACAGCACCCCTACAGTCAGGACCTGGTGATACTGAAGAAGATGACTCCTCCCATGGCCAACAGCACCCCTACAGTCATCTCCAACATCTTCCCCAGCTTCCACTGTTTATAATCCTGCTGCTGTTTCTGCTGGTAATGGGCCTTTCTGGCCCTCAGCTCCTTCTCCCTCATCAGCTGCTCTCCATAGTGAGCCTGGAAGAAGGCATCAAAGTCAAACATGGCTTTCCCTCCAACGTTGGAGAACCGCCGGGACCTCTGCTGTTGTTGATACTGCTGTGGGCCAGAGGCTCTGGTGGAGGTGGACTCCCGTTCCGAGGGTCTGCCGGCCCCCTGGACGTCTGACCCACTGAGGATGCCGCGGTCGTACTTCCTCCTCAGGGCCATGCTCCCCAGCACGCTATAGGCCTCGCTGATCTCAGAGAAACGCTGGGTGGCCTCCTCGTTGTCGGGGTTCTTGTCTGGGTGGTAGATGAACGACTGCTTGTAGTAGGCTGTCTTTATTTGGGATTGGGTGGCGCTCGGGGACACTTGGAGGACCTCATAGTAGGCTGTTCTGCTCCTGTGAAGAGGCGGGATGTCTGACGTGTTGTTTTTACTCCTCCAGCTGTAAGCCCTGGTGGAGTACAGGTGCTCTGGGTGAGGTCTAAACCGGCCTGACTGCTGCTCTGCCAGGTTGAGCATGACCGTGCTGAATGCTCGGAGCTGCTGAGGTGACCCAAAGGTTTCAGGGTGAAAGGTGGCCATGACAACACCTCTGCTATTCCAACAAGTCATCCTGTGTGCTGATATAAGTAGGTTATCCTGGGACAGAGGCTGGACACTGGGCCACAGGTACAAAGCTGACTGTCTGAGCGGACTATCCTGAACAGTTGCTAATTTGATTGAGGGTTTAGCGTCAATGTCTAATAAAAGTAAATCACAACTTGAACAAACTTGAGGTAATGTCCCATAACACAGTCTGTTCTCATGTTTTAGGCTAAAAAGTATTTGAGCTCTGTGCTCTAACTCCATACATTCAAGGGCATTTTCTTTGAGGTTTTCACTTTCAGGTTCCCAGGAACTTGCCTGACGGTCCCTTGTTGACACCCTGCTGACGTTCGTAAATCCGCCGGCCCGTTCTACAGGTTCTGGCTCCAATTATAGAGGTTGCTGCTACTGAACATCGTTCTGTTTTCTTGACCTTTGGCGCAGGGGAGGGAAATTGGTCGGTGCGTTTCTGATAGTTGAAAATCTGTACGCTCCACTCCCCAATCTCCGACTGACCTCCTCCATTCTCCCGTAGCAGCAGTTACAGCGGCCATGGAGAAATGACAGAGGCGAAGAAGACAGGGGTGGATTCCGGTAAAGTGTATAGCAGACCAATGAGTGACGATGTAAATGGCACGTGGTCACAAAAACGTATTCTGCCATCCAATTATATAAGAGGAATTGAGGTTTGAACGTTATCAAATGTCGCCTCTTCCTCTCTGATGTTATGTAAAGAGTTTGCGATAGTATGTGAAACTGAATTTTTCGTATGCTTTAAAATTGGGTCTAGATATGCATTTAATTCAATAGATAGTTTTGGTTGTTGAAGTCGTTTCTGATAGTATTTTCATTTTCAACTGTGTGGCTGTCTCTTTAAATCACGTGCCCCTTGCCTTGGCGCTGACATACTACGTCACACTTACATGTGGAACCCCAGCTGTAGCCAAACATCATAACAACTTTTACGCTTTTTGGTTTAAATCCATCATTCTTCGATATCTTGTAGTAAACAAAAATAAACATGGCCTCAAGTTGTCGAAGACCCGAGCATATGGCCCCACCTGAAATGGTTAGTATGACATTTTCAATGGTTTTAAAGACAGTAATGAGCGCTAGCTAGCTGCCTGGTTAGCCGCTAACTGTAGGAAGACTAGTTCGCTAGTGATTTGCTCTCAAATACCTACATACCAAGTGACTGGTTATTTATGTAGTTCATTATGTGTACTACATTTCCCCGACACATCTTGTCTTTACCTGCACACGCGCTTCTACATCTGCATTGCTTGCTCTTTGGGGTTTTAGCCTGGGTTTATGTATAACTAACTAAGCACTTTGAGTCATCTGCTGATGTAGAAAGGGCCTTATACATTTGATTGACACAGCACTTCTTGTGTTTTGATTTCTACTCATTCTGCAGTTTTACAACGAAGAGGAGGCCAAGAAATATTCTCAGAAGTGAGTCCTGAGTTTGTCAATGACCTCTTATGGGCAGCACAATATGAATCACGGTGTTTTAAATACAAATCGTTGCATTTTTTATTTACATACTGATCAGAGGCTGTCCTTGATGGAATCTGTTTGAGACATAGTATAATGTAATATGATTAAATGTAACTAAGTAAACAGTTCAATAATTTCCTCATTGATTTCTAGTTCTCGGATGATTGAGATCCAGAGCCAGATGTCCGAGAGGGCTCTGGAGCTGCTGAACCTGTCTGAGGACCAGCCCTGTTTCCTGCTAGATGTGGGGTATGTGTACTGGCCAGGGGACGTCTGAGGGCTCTCATTAATGTAATAGATCTGGGTAGGAGAACAAAACATTAACGCTACTTCAGACTGAGTGTGTATATAACTTGTCCCATCCACGTGTGACTCGGGGCTAAGTGGGGACTACCTGTCAGACTAAAGACTAGTTGTTGTTTTGCCAACATAGTTGTGTTGCCACTGAACGATGTGGCACAGTCGGGGGTCACACACTACAATATTCTTCACTTGGTTACCACTCTGTCTCGCTAAAACAAGGCTGTGATGTGATTAGATTGTTAACGTAGCTAGAACGAGCTGTGGCTCAAAGCAGCCTCATAAGCATTTTCTGTCAGACATTCACGCTTGCCATTCAGAGTTTAAATATCCAGCCAATACATTTTTTTTATTGAATAACGTTGCTTGTCAGAGCTGTAACGATTTGACACTTTGGCAAATACAAATGCATACTAGTAGTAGTCATGGCTCCTGCTCGAGACTACACATCCTGGGTGATGGGAAACAACGTCATCTCAATGGCTCGAGACTACACATCCTGGGTGATGGGAAACAACGTCATCTCAATGGCTCGAGACTACACATCCTGGGTGATGGGAAACAACGTCATCTCAATGGCTCGAGACTACACATCCTGGGTGATGGGAAACAACGTCATCTCAATGGCTCGAGACTACACATCCTGGGTGATGGGAAACAACGTCATCTCAATGGCTCGAGACTACACATCCTGGGTGATGGGAAACAACGTCATCTCAATGGCTCGAGACTACACATCCTGGGTGATGGGAAACAACGTCATCTCAATGGCTCGAGACTACACATCCTGGGTGATGGGAAACAACGTCATCTCAATGGCTCGAGACTACACATCCTGGGTGATGGGAAACAACGTCATCTCAATGGCTGCTTCTCTGGAGAGCTCTCATTGGCTATTGCTGATCACGTTCTCAAATCTTTATCGTTGCATATCTCACACTACAAGAGTATTGCTGATTTTGTGCTGATAAAATCAAACATGTTTGAAAATATCAGGACGTCTGAGACTGCTCAAAGATGGGATTGGTAGCTTGCGTCTCTGTCCTGCTCACATTAAACGAGCACCGGTGACGGCCGCGCGCCCTGATTAGGCAACGACATGGGGAGTTCAAAAACGTATCTGGGACAGCTAAATCAGGGCCAAAATTGCGTAGTGTACACCCGGCTTAAATGTATATATAACTTGTCCCATCCAGGTGTGGCTCAGGGCTAAGTGGGGACTACCTGTCAGAGGAGGGACATTGCTGGGTTGGAGTGGACATCAGCAAAGCCATGTTGGTTGAGTGTGGTTGGTGTCATTCCTGATGCTAAAATATTGCATTCAGAGATGGATCAGCCATCCTGTTTAGAGATGGATCAGCCATCCTGATCAATTCAATCATCAGGATTATAGGTGAGGTGTATCAGCAACCTGAAATATAGCAGTCAATATTTGTTTGTTGTTGTGATCCGCTGTTAACCAGTGCTGTGTCCTCTCTAGATGTAGCCCTAGATCGGGAGGTCGAGGGAGACCTTGTGTTGAGGGATATGGGTGAGGGGATGCCCTTCAGGCCTGGGACCTTTGATGGCTGCATCAGGTAAAGAGCTTGTCCTCCCTGTCCTGTAAGAGATACCTGAGTTCTCTACTAAGTTCTCTCCGTCCTCCTCTGTCTCTCTCTCCCTCTTTATGTCTCCATCCTCCTCTGTCTGTTCCATCCTCCTCTGTCTGTCTCCATCCTCCTCTGTCTGTCTCCATCCTCCTCTGTCTGTCTCCATCCTCCTCTGTCTGTCTCCATCCTCCTCTGTCTGACTCTCTCCCTCTTTTATGTCTCCATCCTCCTCTGTCTGACTCTCTCCTCTGGTTCTTCATCCCATCCTCCTCTTTTCTCCATCCCTCTTTCGGGCTCCATCCTCCCCTTCTGACCCCTCTCCCCTTTATGTCTCCATCCCCTCTGTCTGATTCTCCCCCTTTTGTCTTCCCTCCTCCTCTGTTGCTCTCTCCCTCTTTTTGTCCTTCCCCCCTCTTTCTCTCTCCATCCTCCTCTGCTGACTCCCCTCTGCTGTCTCCCTTTCCTCCTCTGCTCTTCCCTCCTCCTCTTTTTCCCCTTTCCCCTCCTCTTTCGCCCCTTTTCCCCCCGTCCCCCCCTCTGTCTGTCCCTCATCCTCCCCTTTTGTGTCTTCTCCCCTCCTTTTCTGTCCCATCCCCCTCGCTGTCGTTCCCCCTCCCTCCCCTTGTCTGTCTCCATCCTCCCCGTTGTCTCCATCCTCCCCTTCTGTTCATCCTCCCCGTTGTCTGTTTCCCCCTCCCCTTTTTGTCTGTCTCCCTCCTCCCTGTCGTCCCTCCCATCCTCTCTGGTTTTGCCCATCCTCCCTGTTGTCTTCTCATCCCCCTTGTCCGTCTTCCTCCATCCTCTTCGTTGTTGTCTGTCTCCCTCCCCCTCCTCTGTCTCTCTCCAAAACCCCGCTTCGTCTTGTCCCCCTCTGTCTGCCCCTCCCTCCTCCCTGTGTGTCTTCTCCCTCCCCCCTGTGTGTCCGCCACCCCCTTGTGTGTTGTCTCCCTTTCCCCCTCTGTTGTTGTCTCCACCCCCCCGGTGGTTGTCTCCATCCTCCCCCGTGTGTTTGTCTCCATCCTCCTTGTGGTCTGTCTCCTCCCCCTTGTGGTCTGTCTCCATCCTCCCTTGGTTTTTCCTCCCCCCTGGTTCTGTTCCATCCTCCCGTGGTCTTCTCCCCTCCTCCTCTGTTGTCTCCCTCCTCTTCTGTCGTCTGTCTCCACCTCCCTGTCTGTTTTTCCCTCCTGCGTCTGTCTTTTGTCCTCCCGGTCTGTTACCTCGTCTTCCCTCTCCATCCTCCTCTGTGTGTGTTCCACCCCTTGTGTGTTGTCTCCTCCCCTTGGTCGTCTCCCCCTCCTCTGGTGTCTGTTCCATCCTCCTTGTGGTCGTCTCCATTTCCCCCCTTTTTGGTTTTTGTCTCTTCCTCTGTCTGTCTTCTCTCCCATCTTTTTGTCCCCATCCTCCTCTGTTGTCTCCATCCTCGTCTGTTCCTCCTCGGGCGTCTGTCCCATCCTCGTCGTCGTCTCCATCCTGTCTTCTGTTTCCCCTCCCCGTCTTCTGTCCCATCCTCCGTCGTCCCATCCCCTCTTTTTCCATCCTCCTCGTTGTTTCCCATCCCCTCTGTCTGTCTGTCGTCTGTCTTTGGGCCCCTCCTCCCCGGGGCTTGTC